GTGAGATTGGGGGGGGGGGGTCTTGAGCTGCAGAATCCCAGGCATCCTCAGAGAGCGGTAGTATGGTGGATTTATTCCACTTTATTGTGTAATTTGAGATTGTAGAAAATGTGTTAATAATATGTAAAGTTTCCTGTAGAGATTTATAGGGATCCTGTAAATATAATAATAAATCATCTGCATAAAGACTAAATTTATGTTCTGAGTATTCCTTTAATTATATTGTTCTGTCGTATAGCTGCTGCGAGAGGTTCAATGAAAATGGCGAATAGAGGTGGTGAGAGTGGGCATCCTTGTCTGGTACCCTGCTGTAAAATGAAACTTTGTGACCTGATCCCGTTTGTACTTAATGTCACCCTAGGTGATGTGTACAGTGTTCTTATCCAATAGATGAATGACTCTCCAAACCCAAATCTTCGTAATGTACAACAGAGAAATGTCCAGTTAACTTTGTCAAATGCTTTCTCTGCATCTAGTGATAAAACTATGGTTTTGGTTTGTTTTTGTTGTGCAAGAATAATTAAATTAAATAATCTACAGATGTTGTCTGAAGCATTCCTGTTTTTAATGAAACCTGTTTGGTCTCGGTGGATTAGTACTGGGGTGACTGTCTCTATTCTAGTAGCTAGTGCTTTGGTAATGATTTTTAAGTTTGAATTAATAAGTGATAAGCGACGGTAACTAGAAGGGTGGAAGGGTGGTTAGGGTTAGGGTTGCATCCTTGCAATTTATTTCAGTTTCCATCAGCAGATCTGACAATGTTGACTTAAGTACTGTAGCGTGTAGGGGCTGGACCACCTGTCAGGAGCTCCACTGACACACTACAATGGACAGAAACTGCATGTTCCAGAGAGTTATGTTCTCATGTTCTGCCCTGGGGGTTGGAGACTGTGTGCTAAGGAGGACCATGGCTGAGGGGTCTGGTGGGATGGATGGGCTTCAGCCAGTAGATGCATAGTTGTTGTGTGGAGTTCAGTAATAAAAGCTGCTTTTCAGAATCAGAATCAGCTTTATTGGCCAGGGGTGATGGACACATGAGGAATTTGACTCTGGTACATCAGCTCTCAATGTACAAACAGTAAACCAGCATAAAGCTGTGTAATATAGGGTTGTGCGGTGTACTGGGGTACTGGATTGTTAATAAAAAGACAGAGCATTGTCTTCGTCTCCTTTCTTTGACCCAGCCTTCATCACAGTATTTTTTTCAATTTTTGAGCAAATAATTACCTTAACATTTACATGAAATTATATCCACAGAGAACTGTTAAAATTAGAACTTTATTTGTACATGATACAAATTGTGTTTGTCCTCCTGTCTCTTCACAACAAAAACACATTTCCATTGCAGACTGATTCATCTTCATCATCCTCAGACAAGTATTTACAGGCACATTTACACACTGTTAAACTGTACACAGTAGATAGAAAAGCAATCTGTGCTTCATTACAACCGATCCTGGATTTATTTTGTATGAGCACTTTAAAGTTTTTACTCCCTTGTAAAAAAAAGTTTCGGTAACAAACAGAGCTCAACCAATCAGAGCTGAGGATCTGTTTCATCACATCCAGAAAATTAAAAAACTGTACAGAGATCAGGAAGTCAGAGGTCAAACTGTGACCTTCAATTTACATACATCATCTTCAGTGACATTGCAGAGTTTGAGTCCCATCTTATTTTTATTGAGAAAAAAATTGCTTAAAGAAGCACCGTAAATCTTCATCATCACATGCATGCAGAAGTCTAATCTGATCTGTTCAGAGAACTACAACTACAGGTCAAACACAGGCTCAAAACACATGCAAGGCAAAAAACACAGCGGGGAGATGTTCAGATGAAACAGTGAT